CATCAGCCCTAGTGGGGAGCAAACTAGGGCTGTTTGTGATCTGAGATACTACCGTACATTGCAATTAAAAAAAAAAGGTTTGAAAATAATGTGATTACCTGTGAAGGTCTACTGCCGAAGCTGTATTATGGAGATTGTCTTCAAGATTGGTATATGAGTTGGGAGAGATTCTTGATGGAATTTCTTGCTCGTTCTTCTCCATTCGAATCTACAATTTGGAATGAGCACCTAGCTTCACTGACGAACAGACTGACAGACTACTTTTCTATTTTGACGTTTCAAAAGTACCTAGTTATGGTTGGAATAAATGATTTTGACTTTGACTTTGATAGGTTGGAGATAGCAGTTCAGGTCAAATTAATCCCAAGTATCGTTTTTAATGTGACCTTTTTGTGCTACGTTGCCCATCGCTTGGTTAAGCTAGATAAAACTAGGTGACAGACTGACAGACTACTATTCTATTTTGACGTTTCAAAAGTACCTATTTATGGTTTAGTTGGAATAAATGAATTTGATTTGGTTACCATACGTTGCCCCCAATTCATTAGTCGGATCATCTTAAAAAAATAAAATAAAATTAGCCTTTATTGCTGTTTAAACTTACAAACATTGACATAAATTAAACCTATATTCTTATAAATATTATCTTACTTATACATATCTTCGTATATCGGCGTTCGGTTCAAAAACAGCTTGTCTTTCGACATAGGCCTCCTCTAAAGATTTCCATTTCTCCCTATCTTTTGCTACTCGGATCCATTCTGGACCAGCCACCTTTTTGATGTCATCCTCCCATCTTTTAGTTTGTCGCCCTTTGCTTCTTTTACCATCTCTGGGGTACCATTCTGTTATAATTTTTGTCCATTTCTCTTGTTTTTCCCTTAACATGTGACCTGTCCATCGCCATTTCAGTGTTCGACATATTGAGTTTGCCTGTGTGAATTTTGTTTTGTTTTTAATTTCTGTTAGTCTAACTTTATCTTTTCGCTTGGCACCAATAACACTCCTCTCTATACTATTTTGGCAGACATTTATTTTATTTGTTAAAGTTTCTGTTAATGCCCATGTTTGACAGCCGTATGTTAAACATGGCAGAATGCACATATTGTAGACTTTTCTTTTTGCTTTAATTGGCATATCCCTATCTTTCATAACTTCACTTAATGACCAATATCTCTTCCACGTATTGGCTATCCTTCTATCGACTTCCTTATGCATGGTTCCCGTAGGTGATATTAACTGTCCCAGGTAAATGTATTCATCCACGTATTCTACCTCCTGCATGTTTACTATAATCTTTTGTGTCTCTGAAGAGTTAGTCATAATTTTTGTTTTCGCGATGTTCATTGTTAGTCCTGCTACTACGCTCTGGTCAGCTAATTGTTGTAGCATTTGTTGTAACGCTCTAGGACATTCAGAGAACAGTATCAGATCATCTGCAAAACGTAGATGACTTAGTTTTTCACCGTTTATATTGATCCCTTGTTCTTTCCATTCTAGGTTCCTAATTATCATCTCCAGAACTGCCGAGAATAATTTAGGTGAGATAGGGTCGCCTTGACGAACTCCTCGCTCTATTGAGAATTCCTCACCCGATTTCTCCAGTCTGACATGTGCTGTGGTCTTTGAGTATATATTCTTTAAGATTCTTATGTATCTGTCCTGTACATTTTGACCTCGCAGAGCTTCCCAGATGTATCTGTGTTCTAGGGAGTCGAAAGCCTTGTTATAGTCTACGAAGCCTAAGAAGTAAATTTTATTATACTCATTGTATTTTTGTAGAATTTGTCTGAGAACGTGGATGTGGTCTATGGTTGAAAATTTACTTCGGAAACCGGCTTGTTCTCTTGGCTGGTTTTCGTCGAGTACTGTGGCAATTCTAGACAAAATGATTTTTGAAAAGACTTTGTAAATGTTGGACATTAGACTGATAGGGCGATAGTTACCAATTTCCTCCTTATCTCCTTTCTTGTGTAACAAAATTATTGTTGATTTGGTCCAGTCTTGTGGAATGCTTTCGGTTTCAATAATTTCATTAAATAAGTCTGTTAACATCGGAGCAATTATTGATAAAGTCGATTTGAGCAATTCGTTGGTTATTTGATCGGATCCAGGTGTTTTGTCCGCTTTCTGTGTGTTTATAGCTTTAACCGTTTCTTTTTCCAATATTTCTGGTATAGGTTCAGAATTTAATGTATATGGTTCCTCTGTAGCTAATTTTGGATTCTTGCTTTTATATAATTCTCTATAATACTCTGTTGCCACCTTAATTATTTCAGGTCTTTTACTATGTTTCTTATGTTTAGTTTTTACTGTTAGCATCCATTCTTTCTTGTCCTTTAACTCTTTAATCGCCTTTTTTACTCCACCAGTTCTTCTTATATGTTTTTCAAGTGTTTGCTGTCTTTTGATTTTCCTATCTTTCCTTATGTTTTCATTTATCTTTTTACTGATTTCTGTTATCTTGCTTCTATTTTCTCGATTATTTTTCTTTGATTGCAGCAATTTTCTCCTTTCTTCAAGTAGCTGTTGGGTTTCTACAGATATTATTTTTTTATTTACTTTCCTAGTTTCTGTTTTAAGTACATTTACAAACTTTTCGTATTTTTCTTCAATAGGCGTGGATTTTTCTTTGAGTATTCCTATCAAGGTTTTTAAGTTGTTTTTTAGCATGTCGCTATTCCCAGTACACACCAGGGCCGAACTATCATTTTGCCATCTCCTGTTCTTTTGTATACGCTTGCCTGTCAATGTAGCACGAACCATTCTGTGGTCTGAATTGAAGTTCAGGTTTTGTACCACAGATACGTTTTTAATCTGTTTGATGTTATTCGACAAAATAAAATCTATTTCGTTTTTGTAGGCACCATTTGGAGAGATCCATGTCCATTTCTTGGTTACCTTTTTCTTAAAGAAACTATTGAGAATACTTAGTTTATTTTTTAGAGCAAATGAAATTAGCCTCGCGCCATTCTTAGTTCTTTTACCACGCCCGTGTTTGCCTATTGTGTATTCTTCACCTGGGTTTTCACAAATCCCTATCTGACCATTAAAGTCTCCCATCACTATGATCTGTTTATGGGCATTTTGAATCGTTTCTTGTAAGTCAAGGTAAAATTTTTCAATTTTTGCTATATCTTCTTTGTTACTCGATTCCGGTGGCGAATATGCTTGAATGATAGACCATTCTTCTTCTTTGTTGATAGGCAATGTTATATTAATTATAGCTATTCTTTCAGTTATTCCTTTAATTTCAATAATCCTACTAGCTAGTTCCTTCTTAATTAAGAAGCCCACTCCATATAGTCCCGGAGTCTCGCCTATGTAGTGTAGAATGTAGTTTCCATAGTCATTTATTGATTCTCCGTATCTTCTCATTTCGCTTATTCCGATTATGTCCCATTTTAATTCTGATATGGCCATTTCAAGCTCTTGAAGTCTCTCCGGTGTCCTTAGTGATCTTGTATTGAATGTTGCTATATGTAAATCTATTGTTTTTGTTTTTCTATTTTTCTTTAGAGGGTCTTGGTCGTTTTCCCCCACGGGTCGGATCATCTTATTATATTACAAATGCGTTATTAGGAAATATACTTAATATCCAAGCACACAATAAGCAAAGAAACAATATTTAATAAGTTAGGACACAAATATATTGCTAGCAATCTAATTTGTACCGATAGGTATCAATTAACACAGAGATCTCCAACATTATGTTGATGAAGGCCCAATTTTATACCATCCTTGGTCTTGGTAAGTTACCGATATGTTGATTAATACTTTTAGGACTAATATACTATATAAATTAGTATATTATTAGTCGAACTAAAGTTTGAACAAAAAAAGTTTACTTACAACTTTAGTAATTTTCAACTTTATTTTTTGTTACTACAACTGTTTAGTTTTGTTGTGGTAGTATATGGGCGGCGGCAATTGACCATTAGTTGACGTGCTTACACGTTTTCTTCTCACGTTTATTTTATGAGCTGACTAGGGCTCAAAGATCGTAGAGCAATTTTTGATGAAGTAACTCATCAGCCAAGAGTAGATATCATACCACCCCCCTTGTAACGGGGGTCTGTACTCCAACAGTGAACTTGCACTAGTTATTAATGATGAACGAGAAAGACAATAGATATGTCTTTTTCGTTCACTTTTCTTATTTTGTCTTATTTTATTTTATTTAAGACTGATTTTTGGTTAGATAAAAGTTACCAAGGGAATAATTATAATGCTGTTGCGTCAGAATGTTTATATAAGACAGTGACAGCAACAATTTTATTCCTCAGATAACGTTTTTCAGAATATTGAAAATTAGCCCTTAGTAGATAGAGAAATAGACAACATATTAAGTTTTACATAATATTATCATGTTAAGAATACACATTATGTAAATCTGAAGTCAAATTATAACTGTGCACAGCATTTAATGGTTAAACAGGGTCAATTTTATGAAAAAAGAACCATAGAAAATTAATATGAAAATAACTTCTCTGATCTAGTGTATTTACAGTGTGAACTATATATTATTTTGCAAAGCTTTTTTAAAATTATTGAACAATTGACTGTCATTAAAAATATGCTAAAAAAAGTTTGAGAACCACTGAGCTAACACTATATTGGCAGATTGAACGTGATAATATTATAATACCCTCCCTTTCCCTGTCACCTACACCTGACGTAATATATCCTAAGTGGTATTGACGACCTAGGCTGTATCGAGGTCTAGTCTTGGAGCTGGAAAATAAATAATTTCTTATTTTGTGACAAAGTTGTAATACTCCGAATATTACATTGGAGAGTAATAATAAAATTCGATGCTGTAACATCGTAAATTGTAAAGAAAAAATATGTTATTCTCATAAGTACTTAATACATATGTTACGAATATGGACAAAATGCCTCTGTTATCATTAAAATAATATCCTTAACACTTACACATAAAAAGCGGCAAGAGCTGTGCAATGTGTATAGGAACAAAAATAACAATCGCTTTATTGATGATGATGATGATAATGAGAGTTCAAAAACCTAACTGTCGTTGGGCGCCGAAGGTAAGAAATTCATAACAAAAGTCAAAGTCCTTCAAATTTTATGCGCTGGAATTTGACAGGTGAAGGCCTGTGCATCTGCTTACATGGTCACCCCGATACTGACCACAAATGGTTCGATATGAGACACCGATAGTAATGAGAGATATTATAGATATAGAAAATATACAATGCTGTTACATTAAGATGAGTTACTTGTTTGTTCACAGCACAGCACTGTAGCCAAGGGGGAGGCCTTTGTCCAGCAGTGGACGTCTTCCGGCTGATGATGATGATGATGATGATGATGATGATGATGATGATGATGATGATGATGATGATGATGATGATGATGATGATGATGATGATGACTTGTTTGTTCTATATATTGTTTGTCGTGGTGGCCCGGAGGTTTCGAAACCTGACAAGTACCAATGTAATTTTTTCCAAGTTGTGTGTTATATACTTTATGATTATTTAGACACCAATTACATACGGCGAAGGTAAACATCGTGAGGAAACCTGGTCTTATAATATCTATTTATAAGTTTGAAATCGCCAATCCGCCTTGAGCAAGTGTGGTGATTAATTCTCAAACATTCTCCGTGTGAGAAGAGGCCTTTCCTCAGCAGTGAGCATTTATTAGGCTGATGATAATAATAATACTAAGCTACGTATTGTTAGTATTGGGGTGTTGTTAGCCTATAGATCAAGGGACACGTGTTTCCTGACCAATGACCGCAACCTCCAACCCGCAACCCAACCATGTGTGTTGTTACATATGTATGTACAAGGGTACGTATAGTACCTAATTGCTTCGAATATAGTCGTCAAAGAAATTTTATTAGAAAATACTTATTGATTAATACCCAATTAATTTGCCACAAATGATCTACTTCAGTAACAATATCTAGGTATACTGATAATTATAAAGCATAAACAATTGTAATTTGTAAGTTTGTATGTCGGGGGTAACCTTTGAAACCACTGGCCGGATTTAATAAAATTCTTTTACTGATAGATAGCTACAATGTTCCTGGGTGTTATAGGCTATAAAATATCACGCTACGGTCTCTTGTACTCTACGTCGGAACTCTCGTAGTCGTAAAGCTTTTTAAACTTGACACTGATACTTAAAAACTATAATCATTCGAAAAAAACAGATCATCAAATGAGATGACCCTAAGGCTAGTGCTACAAGGTCACAGTTAATTAGAGCCCCCAGCACCACTTTGAACAAAGCAAATAACGGTCCGAATGGCGCGATGACGTCACTGTTCAGTAAACAAATATTAGACCTACGTGTCCGCTCTGTGCAAACAGATCTTCGTATTTGATCGCTTTTTGTGAAATCCAACGTTATTGTTCTCTGATGATTGAAATAATATATTTTTATTGTTTATTAGTAAATATATGAACGCTTATTTCAATATTTGTTTTATATTTTTGCTATTTTCTTTGTCCAAATTACATTAATGTCTTTGGCATATAACCTTCCAATGACTGTGACGGGAGGGACGGTAAGATCCTTACTGAGTAAAACCCAAGTTTTTCCTTCTCCTGTTCTCCTGCTCTGAAACGGGACGATGGAGTTGTATTCTCAATCCCCGCTGGACATCAGTCGTTAGTGGGAACAATCTGTAGTGGTCTATTGGCGCACCGCAAGCCTGGGTCAGCTTCTGGTCGGGAAGCAATCTGCACTAGCTCACCGTCCGAGCATGAAGTAGGTCACAGTGCTACCGAATCCTCCGAGTGGTGCGGAATGACGATATCTGGACGTTTCCTCGTGCTGTTTCTAAAACAGGTACTTCCTGAACATCACGTTTATATTAAGCACCTGCTTCAAGCGAGGTGAGGATTGCTTCTCGCTAGACATTTCTTAATGTGAGCTCTTAAGGCTGGGATTGATAGCAACACACACACACACACACACACACACACACACATTGATAACAATACAAGCCGATACATTTATTTATATTATTTTAAGTAGGAATTGCATAGCACATGTTACCAACATTGGCATGCACAATATTAATATTCTATTAACCATCAAAAAACCTTTCCGTCGATACACTAATACATTTACAGAATTAGGGTACTACGCATAACTACTTAAAACCAATTTATTTCGTATAATGTATGTTGAAATGGGTCTTAAACCGTGTTATATGTTCAAAGGGCCTCGATGAAATAACTGGGACCCAATCAAGGCTTTGATCACAGCTCTGGTAAACATGAAAAACGTATGAAGGTGGCGACATGGCCCCAAAATTGATTGGCATCAGTCAACAGCCTTTTTGTATTAATATTTTGTGTGGATTTCTAAAGGAAGTTATTTTGGAACGCGATGACGAAGTATATAGGGAGACGTTCATTTCTTGAAACCTACTCGTTCTGTTATAAATTAAGTTGGTGTTTGTATGATTAGTAAATATTTACATGGCCACACGATCGATGTTTGAAATACACACTGTATGCTTCGAGGCTCTCATACATATACATATACTATAAGTAAAATCATATCAAATATCTTTTATGCATCTACCGCAAAACATCCAAAGTTACTTCGAGCACAAAAAAAGAAATATTACCTCTAATAATACTATCTCTAATTCAAATATAAAACAACTTTAAGTGAGAGCCAAGCGTCGGCACAAATGGGTGAGCTCAATCGGAGTGACACCACAGCCTCACAGAAAACCTGCGCGAAACAACCACAGCTTTGTTACTGTGTGAGTGAGGTTACCTGAGATCCAATCTCTCCTTCTCTCCCCATCCGTTCCAAATCCTTAAATATCCGAAACTCTTATCCCCAAAAGGCCGGCAATGCACTCATAACTCCTTTGGTGTTGTGGGTGTCCATGGGCGGCGTCGATTGCTTACCATCAGCTAATCCCTCTGATCATTTGCCGCCCAATCCCATAAAAAATATATCAAAGTAAAAATTAACACATTCATTTCAATAAAATACTCTAATCTGCATTGAATGCAATTGCAATCAATAAAGGCTTTGTACAATTTATGCCTTTGTAGCTCCTTACTTACGGTACTTGGAACCGCACAAATAAATTTTAAATAAGCTATAATTTATGAAGTATGAAAATTAATTTCAATTGCATAAAATTAATCTTCCTTTGAATGCAAAATAGACTATTTTACTGAACGTGATTGACTGCACGATTGTGTGGTGGCGGAGTAACAAGCTGACGTGCTGGTGTCGCGGGTTCGATGGCGTACAGAACAACTCTTTGTATGTTTCGCAATTTTGTTCCGGGTCTGGGTGTGAAGTGTGTGTAAAATTATGTATATGTAAACGCAGTCACGACACAGGAGAAAATCCTAGTGTGTCGCAAGGCTTTTATCTTATTATCAGAAGGAAGGTATTCACAGCTGAAAAATGTGACGGGCTTAGGGCAAGGCATTAAAACAACTCCCCTGTGCCTTATAAAACATCAAAATGTACCTAGAAGTTAAACGCTTATAGATAGACTAGCAGATTTTTGGTATAAAAACTATCCTATGTCCTTTCTCGACTTCCAAACTATGTCTGCACCAAGTTTCACAGTACAGTAGTTTAGGCGTAAAGAAAAGACAGACATACAGAGTTGAGTTAGGTACTTTAGAAATTATAATATTAGTATAGATATAGAGAAGATATTAATCAGACGTCAAATATAACGTAAGCATATTAATAATTAGGTAATCGTATGTAATATCGTGATGACGTAATACTGAATCAATAGCCAATAGGCAATCAATGTCATAATTATATCTACGTAATTACTTGGGTGTACACATGCGTGTAAGATTATTAAGAAAATATCTAGCTTAATTAATACTTCGGTTGCAATTAATTAACGTGCGCGATAAGCTTTTTTTGAGTGGGTAATACCATCAAATGACTTCTCTTATGCAGTCTGAGAGATGCAGTGTCAGACTCTTACTGACTAAAAACCTCTCCTTTCTTTTTCCAGCTTTAAGCCTGGTTGTTTTTGTGCTTGACCCGTAACTGCGGGCCCATCTGTGGTGGCCTAATGGCTTTTTGAGGCGCATGCGGACCGTTAAGCGCCGTATGCTCGGGTCTGGTTCTGCTTAAGCGGCGAGCTATCTTTGCTCGCCGTCCTTAGAACCGCGCTTACGGTAGCCGGAGATCAAGGGTAGTTTGAAAAGATTGTCGAGTGTATTTTGTCTAAAAATAAGCTATTTGTCAAGATTTAGTTTTCGTTTCCTATAATATTCTTTTAACTTAACCACTACACGGGGCCCTATAGGGCTGATGCTTGTCCGGGGTTAGGGGGTAACCGCAATGTGGCACTGCGCTCTCAACCTAGAGCAGGAGAAGAAACGGGGGCGTTTTTAGTCAGTAGGAGTCTGACACTACCTCTTCTTCCAATTTGGCCAAGGAAAGTTGGATGTTGGATGATTTTGTAGATCTTGATATACACGGCCTTATAGAAAACCGGCGACAAACAACTTTACGGTTGTGTTAAGCTGTAAGAATATTGACGGCCCAATTCTCCTCCTTATCCTCAATCCAATAGAAAATAGAAAATCTTTTATTACATTAACATAATTATACTTACTATACGATGAATTATTATTGATTAAGTGTAAACATAATTTCTATTTCAATTAGTACAAACCCCTATCTAATCAGACACACATTCAAAAGTTACACTTAAAACCCACACGCTTAATGTAAAGCAAAGTTTCTTATACTTACATTAAAATCGGTACTTAAGTACCTACATACATTTTCGACAATTTCTTGAACTTATCTCATGTACCATTACGAAATCGATCTGTTATTTTAACTTAAACGATGTTCTGTAATCGCTTCTCTGTTAAATCATTTTAAACACGAAATTCCCGCTATTTCTCAGCTTTGTAATCAAGTTCTTCTCGAATTACAGAGTCGGTAAGAAGAAACCAATTAAATTAACTTTATCATTATTAGTTTCGAAGAGATAGGTCTTAGCCTAGAATAGCTACATTTCGTCAAGAAAAGTCTTGGCCGGAGTGATACCCCGGCCTCTCAGAAAACCGATGTACAACAACCCAACTTCTAATTTCCCCAAATTAGTAACCTAGTACGCTAGAAAATTGCATCACAACTTCTCCTTTTTTATGACGTATTACCTGAACACCTGCGGCACCAGTGGAGTCATAGGCGTGTTGACGGCCTTGTTTGTCTCCGTCTCTGTTTAAAGTTAGTCATTATGCTCGTGTAACAGTATAAAAATTATTTACGTCGTTTTGTAAGTTCATCCAAACTACTGTTTCGAATAAAAGTGGCCAGGATAAGATAGGTAATTAATTATAAGAAAGACGTTGCATTGTCAACAGTGTAATCAGATTTCACGTGGAGTCAAGTTTTTAATTCTATACGTTTCGACTCCACAAGTTCCATCTTCACAAAGTCTGCACCTACTTTAAAATACATTGTTTGTCCGTTTATTATCCGCATAATCATGGACTAAAAATGTAACTACACACAGTTCATTATTACTTCATAATATGTAATACTAATTATTTGAATATAATAAAGTATATCATTAATTAAAACGGAAATTTCATTTAGTGGTTTTGCTATAATTTTGTTATTACAATTATGAAATTATATTCAATGCAACAAATTACTATAAAGTTAAAATAAATCATTTAATTTGTTATAAAATGATAAAGTGCTAGTTCAATCGAATGTGTCTGTAATAATTATTTCAATGTACTCAATGCTTAACTAATGGCATAACACATTACAATGAAATGAGTAGAAATATATTTTGATAATCCTTTTTTTATGTAATATTATTGGTTAATTATTTGGTGTTATTGGTCGGCAAATGAGCAGACAGATTACCTGATGGTAAGCAATCAGCGCCGCCCATGGACACCCGCAACGGAGAAGTAACGAGTGCGTTGCCGACCTTTTAGGGATTAACGATTTGGAGATTTAGGGATTGAGGAGGGATTTGGGGAGGGGAAGGATTGGGCCTCCGGTAACCTCTGGAAATACAACGCTGTGGCTGTTTCACGCCGGTTTTCTGTGAGGCCGTGGTATCACTCCGGTCGAGCCGACCTATTCGTGCCGAAGCATGGCTCGCCCACACTTGAACGTTCCTGTACGTTTTTAGAATTTGTAATACTGTGGGATTAAATCATTATAATTCGCCGGCTGTCAATCTATCCCTTCTTACATAAGATAAGGTCAGGTCAAGGTATATCAATGTCAAAGCAAAAAAAAACATTTTGTTCGAAACGGACTCGCACACGGTTTCGTTTCAAAAACACGTTTGCTGTAGACCTTTCAACAGAAATTCATCATCTGTACAAATTTTAACTTTGAGTATCCATAAAAGTGCTTGGTGGAAATTTATACATTAAGCTGTCCAAATTTTGCATGTAAGTGATCATGAGTGACGGTGGTTACAAACAGACTGCGCTGTCCGTCCAAACCAACGTCCAGCAGAGTCTCTAATAAACTCAAAATTTTACCAATGTTGTGTACAGAATCCTTTAGCCTAAAACACCTCCACTACATAAATAAACAATAAAACGCAATAACACAACGTTACTAACATATAATATAATATCTTAATTAAGTTAATCATATTTTAGGAGAACAGAGCGACAGATGGCCGCGGCGTAATGAGAAACAAACTTAATAAATTACGGTTTGTGTGTGTTTTCCTCGAATTAATCGTAAATCTAAACTCCAACAACCACACGTTACGATTAATCGTTGTTTTATCTTTTGTTTCGTGTTTAACTTTAGGAATTACGAATAAACATATATTAGAAGGTTATAAAGGAAACTTTCATCTAGATTATTTCACATTTACGAGTTAGATTAATTAGGTTTGATCTTCTTTCAAAAGTTGAGAGGTAAGGTGTGAATTGACTAACTAACATATTTTGAGCTATTGAGGTGCCTTTGAACTACTTTATACAGTCTAAAGAACTTGTATCTAACGTTACGTGTTCATCATCATCATCACCATCATCATCAACAACATCAACTTTATCAGTCTATAAATGCCCAATGCCCACCCCGCAGGGTGGCTGGCAGTGGTTGGATGAGAAGAGCTGAACATCGAGCTCAGTGGCGTGCAATTGGGGAGGCCTATGTCCAGCAGTGGACGACAACAGGCTGATGATGATGATGATGATGATGAAATGCCCAATACTGTGTTTATTGACGATGTATTCCTATCCTGTTTGTAAGTGGTGTCTAAATAATTGTAGAAACTGTTATCAACAAATTCTTTTTCGGGTTTAGGTGGCTTTTGTATATGGGATTATGTGTTAAATGTTATAATAAAATCCCAACTGAAATACAAAATCTTAATGAAAGTAAATTTAAATTATGTATAAAGAAAGTATTATGTAGGAAAGCATACTACAAATTTTGATCTCAATTATTAAATTATTCACCATGTTGTTGATTGTTGATAAACTGGATTTTTGTAAATGTGAGAGCCCTGTAACTTATTATAATTGAGTTAGACTTATAGACTTATAGTATATTGGTACTTGTGTCAGTTGGGAGTTGTCATGCTCACTCAGGAGTCTCATTGGCGGTGGCACGGGCACTGGACCGCTCGGTTCCCTATAATATGGTTGAGTTGGGCGGTGCTGGTGTACGTGTCATGTTCGTGAACGGACGCCGCCTATTGGGACTGGTCAACTCGAGACTGTCTAAAGTTGCTGTCCCTGAGGGTTATTTCTTTTTCGGATACTTTGGTTAAACACTAGTGTTACACTGTTCTCACATAATGGAGCTATCTAAATTATGTAACAATGTATTGTAAAAAGTGATTGAAAAAGAGTAACCATGGAGTTTCTTGCTCGTTCTTCTCCATAGGAATCTACACTTTGGAACGAGCAAATAGCTTCACTAGAGGACAGACGGACAGACTGACACATAAAGTTAAACCTTATGATATCTTTTTTGCTTGACGTTCAAAGGTGCCTTTTTTGGTCTATTTGAAATAAAGAATTTGATTTGATTTGATTTGATTTGATTTGAATTTAATTTATCATGTTTATAAAGGCACTCACGACACAGGAGAAAATTCAAAAGCAAGCAACGTTTAAAAAAAAAATGACGCTTACCAATAAGTTTTTTATTACACAATAATACGCGATTTATATTTGGAAGATCAGTAGCTACTACGTAAGCTGGTGCTGACAAGAAACCGGTCTAACGTCCATATGTTGAAGCGCAAGCAATCTTGTAATGGTAATATAAAATGTCTAATATGTCAAGAAAAATATAAAACTTTAAGAGGAAATACGAATTAGAATACTTGGTATCCGAGTACATATCTAGCTGTCGACCGTAAAATTTTAAAGTCAAATTGTTCCGTGAAAAAGTGGGACTCACTGAAAAGTGGCACTTTGCAGTCTGCTTCCTGAAATTGGTGGCGTCTATTGAATTTTAAATACCTGAAAAGTGGAATTGGTTTTACTACTCTGCTCTTTTTCATTTTATTTCCTGTGTGCACGTGTTGAGTACGAAATGCATATAGCATTACTATAGTACTACTTACTATACTATGTTTTATATAATATTAGCTTGCCAGTGGCTTCATCTGCTGTATACATGGTAAAAAGTAGCATATTCTTAGACTATAATCTTCCTCTATGTCCAATTTCATACAGATCCATTCAGTATGTTTTTCATTAAAGAGTAACAAACATAATTTCGCTGACATTCCTATGTATGTCTCTTTAATTCCTCCATGATGATTTCAAAGTCTACTAAACCATAAATAGGTACTTTTGAAACGTCAAAATAGAAGTAATCTGTCAGTCTGTTCGTCAGTGAAGCTAGGTGCTCATTCCAAATTGTAGATTCGAATGGAGATGAACGAGCAAGAAACTCCATCTTTATTTTTGTAAATAAAGTATATTTCAAGAAAGTTACTAAGTTAACAAAAAGTGAATAATATACGTAATTTTATCTTTTATGGTTATTATTATTGTAATATAGTAAAAATGAATTTGTTTTTAAGAACACGCTTGTCACAGGAATCGCTGGTTCGAATTGAGTATTTTTTTGTTGTTGGATTGCCTCTTCCTGGAAAACATCAACAATAAAACATTCAGGAAAACCGAAAAGCTGTAGGTACAGTTCAACAGGAGCATTCTTTTTATTAAAAAAATAGAGAGACTGTTTGTTTCCTAATAAATAAATAAATAAATAAATAAAATAAAAATCAACTAGGAAATAGAATTTTCTGGTGCGGCTAGAATATTATTCTAAGGGAGAGAGAGAGAGCTAAGGTTCGGCACGAATGGGTCAGCTCGATCGGAGTGATACCACGGCCTCACAGAAAACCGGCGGCGTGAAACAGCCACAGCGTTGTGTTTCGCTGCATGAGTGAGGTTACCGGAGGCGCAAACCCTCTCCTCTCTTCTCAATCCTTAAATATCCGAAAGCCTTATCTCCAAAAGTTCGGCAACGCACTCGTAACTCCTCGGTCCATGTGCGGTGCTGATTACTTACCATCAGGTAGTCCGTAACCACGTTTGCCGTCTTATTACTTAAACAAAAGTGCCTTTGTAATTATATAAATTCACATACACATCACACCCAGACATGAAACAATAATTTGTGGAGTCAAACCCAGTCAGCATCTACTGCTGATAATAAAAGAAGTTGGAAAACAATATCCAAACTGCATCAATATCCACTCCCACTGTTATCGTTTAAGTTAAATGAACTTGGCAAATTGTTGACCCGACGAATCGTTTAGATTAACTATTCATTCTCTTATCTAACTTACGACTGGAGTTAACTTTACTGTTACTTAAACTGGGAGAAATATGTCGTCGACTCCGTAATGGACACGGTTTTCAGGTAAATTCTTTAGCTTCAGTTGTAATTCTGTAACAGACATATCTCATTAATTAAATTTGTTTATCGGTTTATGCATATAACTGCTTTTGTAATTTGCAGTTTTCGCCAAATCGTGTGTCGCGCAATACTGCTCATGAATAGCCCCTGGAGAGGCTTGAAACTCTGAGGTTGCAGATGTAAGTGAAACAATCTACCGCAGCCCAGAGCTATAGTAGAGAAGAAGGAATGACTATACATATAGACAGAGGCAATAGAACGCCAAAGTATAAGTGGTAAAAGGTGCCGCCTACGATGGAGCACGTCTACCCATAAACATTCTATTCAAATGGGCCTGGTTTCGGGGCAAGCGCAATTAGATAACGCGGCCTCGGCCTGGAGCAGGAAAAGGGATGGGGGGTTTTTAGTTAGTAAGAGTCTGAGTATCCCTCTAACGATACCCTTAGCGAGAGAAGTTGTACGATGATTTTCCCTCCCAAAAACGGCCTTGATGACACATAGAATATATTTTTCGAGAAACACGGTTTTTTTATGGTATAAGTCGGCAAACGAGCAGACGGATTACCTGATGGTAAGCAATCGGCGCCGCCCATGGACACCCGCAACACCAAAGGAGTTACGAGTGCGTTGCCGGCCTTTTGGGGATGGGGGTTGCAGATATAAGGATTGGGAAGGGATAGGGGAAGGGGAGGGATTGGGCCTCCGGTAACCTCACTCACACGGCCATACACAACGCTGTGGGTTGTTTCACACTGGTATTATAGGAGGACGTGGTATGACTCCGGTCGAGCCGACCCATTCGTGCCGAAGCTTGGCTCTCCCAAAACAGATGAAGAATTCCTTTCCTTACCTGATGAAAAAACTGCAGGTAATACGCTTTCTGCGTTGGGGTATTCACCATGAAGCGGGGTGTTTTGTTCAGTGATATTACGATGGTGAAAAGGACTAAGAGGAATCAAGTTGTGCAATTTCCCCACATATTCTCGGAAATGTTCCCGGTGAGTATAAGACCGAAAAGTTTGCAACGTCTGCGTTGGAAGTCGAACCTCCATAAACCTTCTATGTTCCATTCTTTTTCTCTTCATCTCCATTATTCTTGTAGTTTTGATGTATCAGCGTACTTATCTTCATCTTTTAACAAAAGTAATGAAAGAAACTAATAGAAAAGCAGTATAAATTGCGTCAATAACAAGGGAAGGCTTACAGATGATTTAAAGGTTAGACAGAGGTCAAGTTGGCAATATCGGGGACTCTTTGTAGGTGAGCGAACATTTCATTTCGACACTCGGAATGAGCAATATATAAAGTGTTGGAGTGTTCTGTTGTCTTTGTGAACTCATACATATATATTTATGTGAATCTACGGCAGTAACCGTTTGTTTTTGGGTGTAGGTATACTAGAAAGGTAGCATTTGTATAGATTGTGAAATCCTGTCTTGTAGTATTTCGTAACCAAGGGGTTATAAGGGGCATCCTACTCTACTATAGTTTTTTTTTTGTGATAGGTCGGCAAACGACCAGTCTCATTAACTAATGGTAAGCAATTGTCGCCGCCCATGGACACCCGCAACAGCAGAGGGTAGGAGTGCGTTGCCGACCTTTTGGGGATTAGGGACGGGGAGATATATGGATTGGGGGAGAGGAAGGATTTTGCCTCCGGTAACTTCATGCACACAGCGAAACACAACGGTGTGGTTGTTTCACGCTGGTTTTCTGTGAGACCATGGTATAACTCCGGTCGAGCCGACCAATTCGTGCCGAAGTATGGCTCTTCCACACTTAAACCGGTTACCGATATAACAACAAATACGAAAACAAAAAGTCCCTCTTGCTCCACCAAGCCAAGTGTCAGAATCTTACTGACCAAAGTAAAAAATCTAAAAAACCGGGGCTGTGGTTCAATGAGATTTGGTTCAGAACCCTACGTGCACGAGTCCGACCTTCGATTTGTCCTCTTTTTATAATTTTCCAATTCCGATTCTTTGTACATTTTAATTTTAAATAAAAGGTTTATTTAATTCAAGAGGTGGCGGTTTTTTTTCATTCGATATTTTATATATAGTATTTAACCTTGCTAGCAGCGTAAGAAGTATTTAACTTACTTGCTTTGGTATAGTTTTTGATACTTAAAACTGCAACCAGTGCTTTCTTGGTTGAGTGTAACAAAGTAAGCGAGGGTCTTGTATTTGATCCCAGATAGGGCAAAGTATTAATGGGATTTTTTCGACTTTGCGGAAATTTTTGAGTCTGGTATTGGACCATCGCCTTTTGCATGGGGTTTTTCACATAATTGGTGAGTGGGAGGTGTACACGTAGCATTATTTTCTGGTCTGCCAACCTAATCGGTGATAAAAGGCGTGACGATAACAAGAAAAAAGAAAACATGTAAGAGTTGAACATGTTGACGTATTCTATCATCAGTATCGAATAGTCAGAATCATCAATAAGAAATATTTTCATCTTTGAATAGTCACTCGTGGGACATAGTAAATTTATTAACATGATCAAATCAAAGTCAAAAGTTATTCCAACTAAACCATAAACAGGTACTTTTGAAACGCATGTGCAAACTAGTAGAGATTTTCACAGATTAAGTCGTCAGACTCAATAAATTTAATATTATTATCAGTGCTGGGTATTAAAAAGAAATAACTTCAAAGCTTTTAAGAAGTTTTGAAGTCCATTATTAATTTCTACGGGATATTTCAGTCTGTATTTTTCGCCATTGAATTTTTAACGATTGAACCTCCACAAAACTTGATGGACTGAGGTTGGGAATGTATTTTTTCTTGTTAAAAATTCTATCAACGTAATGCTCATACAGCCGGGAAGTCAAGCCTGTAACGTGAACTGAAGCAATCACTTCAGTTCATAATTTTTAACTAG